TTGTCCCTAACTATACTTCAACGTGTCTCCAGATGACTACAGCCTTTTGTCCCTAACTATACTCCGACGTGTCTCCAAACGACTACAGCCTTTTGTCCCTAACTATACTCCGACGTGTCTCCAGACGACTACAGCCTTTTGTCCCTAACTATACTCCGACGTGTCTCCAGACGACTACAGCCTTTTGTCCCTAACTATACTCAGACGTGTCTCCAGATGACTACAGCCTTTTGTCCCGAACTATACTCCGACGTGTCTCCAGACGACTACAGCCTTTTGTCCCTAACTATACTCCGACGTGTCTCCAAACGACTACAGCCTTTTGTCCCTAACTATACTCCGACGTGTCTCCTGACGACTACAGCCTTTTGTCCCTAACTATACTTCAACGTGTCTCCAGACGACTACAGCCTTTTGTCCCTAACTATACTCCGACGTGTCTCCAGACGACTACAGCCTTTTGTCCCTAACTATACTCCGACGTGTCTCCAGACGACTACAGCCTTTTGTCCCTAACTATACTCCGACGTGTCTCCAGACGACTACAGCCTTTTGTCCCTAACTATACTCCGACGTGTCTCCAGACGACTACAGCCTTTTGTCCCTAACTATACTCCGACGTGTCTCCAGACGACTACAGCCTTTTGTCCCTAACTATACTCCGTCGTGCATCCAGACGACTACAGCCTTTTGTCCCTAACTATACTCCGACGTGTCTCCAGGCGACTACAGCCTTTTGTCCCTAACTATACTCCGACGTGTCTCCAGACGACTACAGCCTTTTGTCCCTAACTATACTCCGACGTGTCTCCAGACGACTACAGCCTTTTGTCCCTAACTATACTCTGACGTGTCTCCAGACGACTACAGCCTTTTGTCCCTAACTATACTCAGACGTGTCTCCAGACGACTACAGCCTTTTGTCCCTAACTATACTCCGACGTGTCTCCAGACGACTACAGCCTTTTGTCCCTAACTATACTTCAACGTGTCTCCAGACGACTACAGCCTTTTGTCCCTAACTATACTCAGACGTGTCTCCAGACGACTACAGCCTTTTGTCCCTAACTATACTCCGACGTGTCTCCAGATGACTACAGCCTTTTGTCCCTAACTATACTCCGACGTGTCTCCAAACGACTACAGCCTTTTGTCCCTAACTATACTCCGACGTGTCTCCAGACGACTACAGCCTTTTGTCCCTAACTATACTCCGACGTGTCTCCAGACGACTACAGCCTTTTGTCCCTAACTATACTTCAACGTGTCTCCAGACGACTACAGCCTTTTGTCCCTAACTATACTCAGACGTGTCTCCAGACGACTACAGCCTTTTGTCCCTAACTATACTCCGACGTGTCTCCAGATGACTACAGCCTTTTGTCCCTAACTATACTCCGACGTGTCTCCAAACGACTACAGCCTTTTGTCCCTAACTATACTCCGACGTGTCTCCAGACGACTACAGCCTTTTGTCCCTAACTATACTCCGACGTGTCTCCAGACGACTACAGCCTTTTGTCCCTAACTATACTCCGACGTGTCTCCAGACGACTACAGCCTTTTGGCCCTAACTATACTCCGACGTGTCTCCAGACGACTACAGCCTTTTGTCCCGAACTATACTCCGTCGTGCATCCAGACGACTACAGCCTTTTGTCCCTAACTATACTCAAACGTGTCTCCAGACGACTACAGCCTTTTGTCCCTAACTATACTCCGACGTGTCTCCAGACGACTACAGCCTTTTGTCCCTAACTATACTCCGACGTGTCTCCAGACGACTACAGCCTTTTGTCCCTAACTATACTCCGACGTGTCTCCAGACGACTACAGCCTTTTGTCCCTAACTATACTCCGACGTGTCTCCAGATGACTACTGCCGAGTCTAAATCCTATACTCCAGCGAGTCTCCAGATGACTACGACTACTGCTGAGCCGATAATTCTAACTTACTTGTTCTCTTGCTGCGCAGCTTAAATTACAGACAGACTTGAGTAATTGTCCTTTAAATGTTCTTTATTACGGCCGGGAGTTCTCTAGCAGTTCTCAGAGAATCTCCCAAAAAGAAGCAATGAGCATGGCCGGTGGATCTCAGACAAATCCCATTGAGAATCCCACCACTAAAAACAAATACAACAGTTTTTATAGAAAAGGAGAATGGGCGAAAATGACATGATACATTATATAATTTCCCCAAAATTTGATTGGTTCTTCATTACTTCATAATCACAAGGTTTAAAATTTAGACTGTGTAGTTTCATTTCCCATATTTGTTATTTATACACACACACGCACACACTCAAAGTCATACGTTTTCCATTGGTTTCGTACAGTACATTCTGTTCAAATGTTAGATGTTAAATAAGGTTAGATGTTAGTCTAACCTGTTGGGTTTAATATATATAGTTTAAAATTTCCACCACAAAGACCAAACCCAATGTTGAAAATGAAAATCAGGATGATGTAAGAATCCAACATCGAATTGACGTTAATCTAGTCTATATGTTGGACAGATGTTGTATTGTGGTTGAAAATGAAAATCTGGTTGACGTCAGAAACCAACATAAGTCGGATTGGATGTTGACGTCAATCTTACGTCGGGTTCTGACATCATCCCCTGACTGATGTTACTACTTTCTACTCAAGAACCTTGACAGAAATGTAGTGGAGTAAAAAGTACAATATTTGTCTTTTAAATCTAGTGAAGTTAAAGTAAAAAGTTTCCAGAAAAAAATAATACTCAAGTAAAGTACAGATACTCAAAAAGTGTACTTAAGTACAGTACTCAAGTAAATGTACTTTGTTACGGTCCACCTCTGCGAAAGCTCCACCCATTTGTTCTGGAATGAGCAGCTTCTCCAGGATTTACTGATTTTGGAACCCCACAAATGGCTTCCTTATTCTCTGTTAGAGTATATTAAGCTGGGATAGCAGAAAAGAAATATTTTCATATCCAAAAAATGACCTACATCAGCTTTAATTCTATCAGCATAAGACACTGAAAAAAAGCAGAATGTCAAGATAAAACAAAGAAAAAAAAAATATTTAAACAATGAAAATGTGTGTAGACATGCACTATTTTTTAAATGGAGTGAGTTACAAAAGATTTGTAATGTTTTATTTTATGCTCTGATTTTACACTGTCAGGTTTCCCACTTCCACCATATACAAGTTTCACTTTAAAGCACAGGAAGCAGCTCGTTTAACATATGCAACTTCACACCATGAAATTCGCATTTATGCAGGGAGATTAAATTACTGTTTTAAATCTTTACAACATCTTTGAAAATGTCCCTAGAAATATCGTCCAGATTTTCTTTGAGAACCTAAGGTATAATTTGACACCTGCGGGCAATACTGAGCCCAACATTTGATCTGTGCCCACACACTGCAGCTGTTAGCAAAGAAACATGGAACATGTTAGCAGCAGACGCCAGAAACATGGATTAACTTTATCCTGTTCTAGTGTCGTTCTTCAATTCCACATTCATTTGTTTATCCATAAATACAAGCTCACAGTCTCCTGTATTCAAATGTAGGAAATATTTATTTCACTGGGCATCTAAAAATCAGTTTCCTGTCTTCATATTTCACTTACATCCCTGACAGAAAACAAATAAACAAACCCACTAGCCCACTAGTCACTAGCCCACACACATGCTAGCAACTGCACACACACACACTTGTTCTGTCTCTAAGGGCCATTTATATAAAAGAAACACCCTCTATTCTTTCACTTTTCCTCCGCTATCTTAATGTCCCACCCTCTTGCTTCTGCTTTTTGTTTCCCGCTTAACAGACATGTGTTTTGCCCGCCTCATAATCCCTGTAGCGTGCAGTCTGTCCACATTATGCAGTAATCTTCAGATTAGATATAATTCACTCATTTATCAACTGCCTGTTAGTGTTTACTTACACTAAAAAATGCTGGTTTGTTTCATGTTTGAGACAAATATGGACAAACCCAGGTTGGGTTAAAAAAATGTATTACAAAAAAAAATTAAACACAAAGGCTGGGTTTGTCCATATTTGACCCAACATGGGTTAAAACAACCCAGCATTTTTAGATTGTACATTTACATTACAGTAATTAATTCAGATGCTTTTATCCAGAGTAAGAAATACACAAATGGTCAAATGTGTTAACAAGTAGTTATGTGTCAAATGTGTTAACTTTTTTTTTCTTTTCTTTTTTCTAGCAGTTACACACTCTCATGTTGTGGTAAATTCTACAAGCAAATAAAATTTTAAGCTCATTTGTGGTTTCATCAACTTTAAATGTTTTTCATCTGTATCATGATGCACATAGTTATCAATGTTATTGATAATAACCACACCCTTTATTATGAAGGACAAATATTAGTCCAGGCTAAAACCACTAATTACCACAGATTAGCATAGTCTCTCTGATAATGATAATGTCCTGACCAAAGCTTATTAGGGAGCTTAATCATTAGTGGGCTGTTTAGGGGCTGATGACCCTCCATATGCAGAGCAGTTTCTTTTATAGAGGTTTTTTTTTTTTTTTTTGCTAAATACCAAATTAATTATACCTATGCAAAAAGATACTGTGAATTTTTCTAATGAAAATAATTGTATGTATCATATAACAAAGTAATATATAAATAGTTCATAGATAGATGGATAGATTATTTATTTAATATATATTTCTTAGATTTTTCAGGGAGTTCATATTTTAGGTGATGATTTTTTGTGTCTTTTTTTAAAGAGCTGTTTAGTGTTGTTGCGTCTGTGTACACAACATAGTTTGAGGCAGCCAAGTACAAAACCAGAAACACAAGGAAATCGGCTTTAAACATGCATTTCCTGTCAGTCACTTGCTTTGATTTTGAACTGGCCGAGGACAATAAAAGACAAAGCTACTAGCCTCAGCCCAGCGTTAACAGGAAAAACAGCGCACATGAGGGAATGTTGCAGACATTCCAGCCGAATCCATGAGCTTTAACGGATGACAAAACAGAGGCATACACGAGAAATTCATAATACACATTTTATTCATAAAGTACTGCATAAAAGAATCATACAGCAGTGTTTTCCACAATATCAAAATAAAAGTTGACTAGCACATTTCATTAGCTCACACTCGCACGCACAGTATCTCATCTGTCGAAGCTGCCACCTATTAATTGGCCGTCCCTTTTCCCCAACAACATTTGTCAACTGCCATCTGTCTGTCTGAGTTTACCCCCCTCCATGTTTTCGTCTCCCCAAAACACCCACCTCCCCCCTTGAAAGTCTTTAATCAAGCTGCAACACTTCTTCTCATGTAAGGCTCCCATCCCTCCCTCCCCTATCTTGACAGTTTAGATAAGACAGACTGGCCACCAGGGTTCTTATCACTGCCCCTTACGAACAAGTGCTTAATGGACAAAAAAATAATCAAGCAACCAAAGGGTAAGGAGCATGGTTAAATGCACTAATACAGTTTTAAAAGTAAAGAGTTCATAAATTGTTCTCAAAGCCTTCCGTGGGCCACCCACCACCCTGCAGCTCCAAAGTAACAGCAGAGTCTGTGAAGCCAAATCTCTGGAGCCGCGAGAGATGCAGAGGCAAGCAGAAAAGCCCTCGCTCGTCCTCCTCAATGTACATTCAACTGTGTCCCGCACGTCTGGAGCACAGCTGTCGGAGGGGGGTCTGCTTTCCAGAAGCTGCTTGTGGTCTCAGAGACAGCAGGACAAACAGACTGCATCAAGTTCTTCAGAACCAGAACGCTCTCCTTTATATTACACAGAGTACCAACGCATAGTCCCGGGACAGGAGAAGCTGGTTCCTCAAGTTCCCACAGTCAGATACAAAAGGAAAGTCTTCTTGTCCCCAACAAACAGAGTTACCTTTGAGTTCTTGTGAAGGATGTAAGAGTTTGAGGGAAGTTGTTGACTTGTTACCCCAATTCTGTGTCACCCTTCCACCCACCTCCTCACACCTTAGTAGCCAGCGACTGGGCCTCGGTCTTCTGTGAAGAGAGGGAGCTGGCGGGGCTGGCGTGAAGGGCTTTCTTCAGGTTGAGGAGGCAAAGGCACTGAGAGCGGAAGCGGAGGTCAAAGAAGGCGTAGAGGAGCGGGTTGAGGCAGCTGTTGACGTACGCCAGGCAGGTTGCGTAGGGATGGGCCATCAGCAGGAGGTTCAGGAAGGTGCAGGAGTCAGGCGCTAGGTTCAGGTACGAGAGGGCGTCCATGGTCTTCACGACGTGGAAGGGCATCCAGCACGCAGCAAACACCACCACCAATGTGGTGATGATCTTGAGCAGGCGACGCTTGCGCTGGTCCTCCTTGCGAAGGCTGTTGAAGTGACGTGTGACGGTGCAGCCGATGAACCCGTAGCACACCATCATTGCCAGAAGGGGGATCAGAAAGCCAAGAGCCGTAGAGGAGATGCTGAGGCCCGCAATCCAAAAGGTCTCCTGGCCCGGTTTGCTCACCACCAGGCTGAAGTCCATGGCGCAGGAGGTGTGGTTGGTTTCGGCGTCGTACACCGTGGTGCGGAGAAGCAGGGTGGGTGCAGCCAGCACACCTGAGAGAAGCCAGATGGTGGCCAGCGAGGCCTGCATGTGTCCTCTGGTCCGCAGCTGTGTGCTGGTGAGCGAGTGCACGATGGCCATGTAGCGGTCTAGGCTCAGGCAGGTCAGGCAGAAGACACTGGCGTACATGTTGAGCAACACCACGTAGCTGCTAATCTTGCAGAGGGCCACGCCAAAGGGCCAGTCGTATCTCAGGCCAGTGTAGACGGCCCACAGAGGCAGAGTCACCACAAAGGTCAGGTCAGCAAGAGCCAGGTTTCCGATGTAGACATCCGCAGCTCTGCGCTTGGACTGGGCCCGCCACACCGTGAAGATGACCACACCATTACCAGTGAGGCCCAGGATGAAGATAAGCATGTAGAACACAGGAATCAGTGAATATGATGGTTCCCACTCATTAAAGTCACACATTGAGCTGTTTGCTGCCTCGTCGTAGTCGTCTTGGCTGTAGTCATCAGTCATGTTGTCCATGGCATTCATTCCTCCAAAAATCTGTGTTTAAAGTATCCGTTGACAAGAGATCTAAATGATCACAGAGAAGTTGCTTGTGATGTGTTCAGGTCAGAATACACTTTCAGCTGGACAAACGGTGGCTTTTAAACCCTCAGGATCTCACACTCCCCTCCCCTCACCCCTGACCCCTCCCCTCTACCCCAGTGACCCCTCCTCTTACCCGCACTGCACTGCAGCTTCCACAGGAAAACACACAGGATTAGGCAACGAAATATAAAAATAGCAAGTACACAAAAATATTTGCACGCGGAACTACTGAAAAACAGCCCGTAGCCTATATTCACAGCGGACAGTAAATATAGTCGCACATCACAGCCGTAAATAATGCTGCAGAAATAGAAGGTTTAAATTGATAGAGCTCTGCTTTACGGTTTTTTTTTTTTAATATAAACTTGCTTTTTTATAGGCTATTTATATACACTACTACTACTGTATACACGATGATGTAGGCGTTTTTCGCGTTTGTATTAATATTTTCAGGAGTTTTACTATTTTAAATGTTAAACACGAAACTTCTCTATCTGTCGCGACATGTCAGGACCTGTGTTTTTTCCCTGTACGGATTAATTGATATTGTAATGGACGGATGTGAATGTGTGAACAACTGTCTATTAGTTGGACGATTCGAGGGCTCTAATTTCCATTCCAATGCGTTTGACTCTGCGCTCACAGACTTGCCCGAGCAAGATCATATGTCCGAATTAATCCGAGAAAATATAGTGCAGCATCATGCGTATAAAAATTGTGCACAATAAGACTAATCTTCAGTTCTAAACGCCATTTTCAGCATGAAATTTACGTGCCGTATAAGTTAGACTATTTTAGGATGAAATGGCTCAACCACCGCGTTTTCTCTCGTTACAGTCCCTCGATTTCACTCAACAGTGACATTCGTAATAATCGTAAGCAAATAACAGCCTATGTAAAATTAATAAATGCAATAATTAAAACAACATCATGTGTTGAACTGGCAGCAATAAGCCACGCCACGGTGCCAAAAAAGATTAAAAATAAAGAAACATTAAAGAAATAGGCTAATACATTAAGAGAGTATCAAATAATACGTGAATGTTAACGTGACACACACAATAATGAAAGTAAATTATTCATATTTTGTGCTGGACCATGTATGGATGATATAAAACACTGGCAATAAATAAATATGTAAAAAAAAAAATAGGCTAAATAATACCTCATAAACTATATTTTAAGTACATTATATATTTAAAAAAAAATTAAATTCATATAATCTGTCTTAAAAATAAATACATTTACAAATAAATTCACAAACAAAGAAATAATGTACAAGGTACTCGGTCACCATCTGTGTAAAACGTTTTTTTTAAGCTAAAAATATTAAAAAGTCTATCTCTATTTACAGTCTGTTATGCTGGAAATTAATGAATGATTAAATGAAAAGAAAGAAAGAAAGTTTGGGAAAGTATTATTTGGACAGAATCTGCAACAAACTGCATATGTTACTGTAACATGGTATAGTTTTATTTTATTTATTATCCAATTGTTTTATTTTAGTCACAATGCATTCTTATTTGTAAATGATTTAGAAGTTCAATGATAATTGAATAATTCGATTCGATTTCAAAACGCTTTATTTGGTTTAGTAAACAAACAACATCACACCCTTGTCAGCTTTTGTTAGAAGATTACGCAACACAAGCAACTGTAAAAGAACCCAGCTCCAGAAAATAAGTCAGATATTTGCTACAGAATTGAAAATAGAATAGAATCCCAACCACTTTGTGTCTGAATGCAGGTATAACATGCCTTCAGACTGCACCAGGTCACCAAAAAACACAGCAAGGAAACAAGAACGATTTAAATTTACAATCTAGAATGGAAATGGGTCAACTAAAAGAAATCAGCAGAGAGGTGAGGTTTGTTTGCCAGAGGAAAGCCACTGTAAATGGCAGATATCAGAGCATTTGGCTCAGCAGTTTAACTGTCTCAGAGTGAAGGAGCAGACGGGAGCTTTCACTCGGCACCCTTCCTCGTCTCTCAGCGATGAGGCGTCAGTGGCGCCGAGGACCTGACCCGCTCAGACACAACTATCCCTCCCTGACACACACACACACGTGCACTGGCCAGGCCCAGGACGGGAGGCTGCAGCGTTTGTAAGATCAAGTGTTGTGACATTATTAAAATGGCTCAACATGTGCTGGAGTTTGTGTTTTCTGACTGTTTGAATCTCTGAAACTCCCTCTAAACATCCTGTACAGGGCACACACTCATGGCAGGTCTGAGCAGCAGTTAAATGGAGATTTAAACATGCCCCATGACAGAATCTTGATTTATTCTTCATTAAAATGAGCATGACTAAAAACTAGTGTTTTGTAATCTGAAGCTAAATCACAGATCATGCGCTCCCCCCTCCAAATACACACTTCACAGGAGGCATTGGACTTATCTTCCCTTGATTTTAACAGGAGAGATATGATAATGGGACAAATGGTATATACTGTAGATATGCAAATGCTTTACAAGAGCAATTGGGGGTCCAACAACTGCCAAACTGTTTATTCCTCGGCAAT